CTTTGTCTTTTGGTTGAAGTAATGCAATCCATTCAAGTTTCAATTTGCAGAAGAAGAATAGTTTCTGAAACTTAAAATCGTAACACGAAACTTAAAAGCGCAACGCGGAAAAGACTATCGCAATGCGAATTTGACTATCGCAACAAGATAATCGCAATGCGAAATAAAAATCGCAACGCGAAACTAAATTCGCGTTGCTATTTTCATTTTTGCATTGCGATTTTCACGTTGTGATTTTTATTTCGCATTGCGATTATCCCGTTGCGATAGTCAAATTCGCGTTGCGATAGTCATTTTCGCGTTGCGATTTTAAGTTTCGTGTTGCGACTATTCTTCTTCTGCAAATTGAAACTTGAATGGATTGCATTACTTCAACCAAAAGGCAAAATAAAGACAAATACTATCTTCACAGGGTTATTTTATAACTGTTTAGCAGTATTGGCAGCAACCGAATGAATTTACTAAGCAATCTAAGTGAAATTACGAGTAAATCAAGTTAAATATGAAAAATCTTAAACTTACCTCGTTGCGTAGAGTATGAACCTCATTCTGCAACGATGCTACCATCTCACGTAGAGCCGCTACCTCACCACGTAAAGTAGATACCTCATAACGCCATGCACCATTGTCATCGCGTAAAGTACCGACCTCCTCACGCAAGACATTGACCTCATCACGTAACTCCCCTCACTCATCCCGTGGAGGTGGAGGTGGAGAACATGGAGATAAATATCGTGGCATCTTTTCCGGTCGCCTATCATGAGGTGATAGTGGAGAAGAGGCTCGATGATCTGATGGAATAAGTGATGGCTCTCGTTGTATAGGTGTATAGTGTGGTCGACCAGGTGATGGCTCTGGGTGAGGTGATGGATCTCGAAGTGGAGGCTGCTCATCATCCGTGCCATCAAAAAAACGCTTACTAGCTTGCCACCAATCAGTGGCAAGTTCAGCCTCCGTGGGTGTCAACCTCTGTAATGGAGTGTTGGCTTCCTAACAATATAAAAGCTCAAACAAAGTTAAACGTGTACTAGTAATAACTTGTTTATATATGGTAGTATTTGTGTTAACTTACATCATTTATTGTCGTATACCATAGTAACTCTTCCCAAATCAACAACCACCATTTCCTCTTCCAAGAAATAGCTCTAGGAATATCATTTGAAGTTTTTAATGCATATGTCTGCATGTTGGGAAAAGCCTCAAATATCCAAATCTACAAACAATATAATACACAAACATTAGTAATTGTTAAATAATTAATTATAATTTTGGAAACATTATATAGAAATTCTTACTTTAAAGGCCCAAATAAAGCCTGACAAAGTGTATTTGGAACCATCGCCACGCAAATTTTTGCGGTCATCAAAGGCAGACGACAACTTATTCCAGGTAGCTTTCCATAGATACGAACCCCATGGAAACATGTTCCATGCATTTAGGTCCTCTACCAATAATATTAGGTCCTTAGGAATAGGTTGTCTGGCCTCTCTGCCTAAAAAGTCGGCATGCAAAAGTACTAAAAGGCATACTCGGACAATGTCGACGTCATCCATCCGAGTAAAACCATCTTTCTTATTCAATAATCTCGTCAAGTCGTCGACGTGTAAATTCGGCTTCTCCATTGACAGCTCAGGAAAAACCCGTGATAACCATGATGGGCGGGTAATATGACTAGTGTATCGACCTACATCATCGTGTCCGGAGCGTAGACCAGTGATTAAGCAAAACTCCTCCCGCCCAAAACACGTATACGCTGATGGAAAATGAAATCATATATCTTCATTACCACGTTTTATACTCTCGGGTAGATCGCTAGTCATGGTCTGAAGCCACAAATGGGTCAACATAGCATCTCCACCCGGATGTTGTACTTTCAGCCATGGCCCGAAGCAAGTATCCTTAAACAATTTTCTTTGTACAAGTGAAAGCTTCGACGCAATTGTAGTGACTAGGCTTATTTTATTCCTTAAGGTCAATTGAGTCGAAAAAAAGTTCTACAAAAACAATAAACATACCAAGTTAGATATACCAAAAACTACACTGTGAAGATATACAAAAAACAATAATAAACATAAAGAGTAGTAGTAGTTTATTCTTCAAACTTAAATTTGCAACACTGTGAATTTCGTATTTGTCTTTGTTTTTTTGTTGAAGTAATGCAATTTATTCAAGTTTCAATTTACAGAAGAAGAATAGTTTATGAAACTTAAAATCGCAACACGAAAATGAAAATCGCAACACGAAAATGAAAATTGCAACACAAAAATGACTATCGCAACGCGAATTTGACTATCGCAACGAGATAATCGCAACTCGAAATGAAAATCGCAACGAGAAAAATCGCAATGCGAAACTAAAATCGCGTTGCGATTTTGTCGTTGCGATTTTCATTTCGTGTTGCGATCCTCGTTTTCAAATAGTCATTGTCTAAAATTGAAACTTGAATGAATTGCATTACTTCAACCAAAACACAAAACCAAGACAAATACTAACTTTACAGGGTTAAAGACTAAACAGTTTAGCAGTATTGGCAGCAATCGAATGAATTTAATAAGTAATCTAGGTGAAATGGTTAATCTATTATTGAAATTACCAGTAAACTTATCATCAATTTCAATATAAAAAACCTAATAATAATGCAAAAAATTCAAAATAAAAATAATTAAAAAAACTAACACTCGGTGGTTGATTTGGTTGATTTTCCATTTCTGATCGTGAATGATTGTGAGGGTGGCTCTGAGAGATGGAGATAGACGGATTTCGTCGAAGATGGGGACGGATTTCGTCGGAGATGGGGTCGGATGTCGCCGTAGAGAGTGAGAAATGGAGATGGGACTGAGTTGTGATTTAGGGTTTTATGTTAAGAGTTACGATTACGGGATATATTAATATTCTTGTTTGGAATTTGAAAATAAAATATGCGTTGCGATACTAATGGCGCTTTGAAAATCGCATTGCGATTTTGTATTATCGCAACGCGATAGTCAGAATCGCGTTGCGATAGTCAAAATCGCTTTGCGATTATGTATTATCACGTTGCGATAGTCAAAATCGCGTTGCGATTATGTATTATCGTATTGCGATAGTCAGAATCGTGTTGCGATTTATATATTCGCATTGCGATTTTCTAAAATCGCAATGCGATAGTCAAAATTACGTTGCGAATCTGGAAACTGATTTGCGATACTGGAGATCGCGTTGCGATTTAGAGATCGCTTTGCGATTTAGATATCGCATTGCGATTTTGTTGATCATTTTGGCAAATCGAAAAAAATTGGTCAAAATCGTATATTATAAGGAATTTTCGATCACTGAAGTTATTTTCTTATTATATTTTGATGTAATTGTTTATAATTATTTAATTTTAATATTTTTAGATAATTATTGTGATTAAACAGGCCCACGTAAGCCCTGTTGTTACCGTCAATTATAACAGACAAAGCCTCCCCTCATTTAATGATATAATACGTATTTTATTGAAGTATAATCATACTTAATTTTTATATTTTAAGTTTAATTTGAACCAGTAAAATCAAATTTATACACTTAATTAAAAAATAAAAATATCAAATTTATTTTAAAACTAATTTTAATTGTCAATTTAAATTAATAAATCAAATTTATATACTTAATAAGAAAAATTTTAATTACCATCAAAATGTATTTTCAAACTATAGATATAAAAAATTCATACAAAATATAAAATATTGATATACTCGTATTATTTTAATTATATTTGTCGTTATTGTTTGTGTACAATACGTAGGCAGGTAAGATAGAGAAAATGAAGCAAAGCAAGTAAAACTTGAGATTTAAACAAAGGGAGGTAAACCGACAAATTCGGATTAGTTTATTTTATAACATTTTAAAAATCGTAATTTTAAATTATTATAAATAATTTAAGTGTTATATGCAAATATCTATTTTTATAAGTATTATATATGAATTAAGATTCACTTACATAATGTAAAATTCTTTTAGTTTTATACAAATTTAAGATTAGGTGAGTAAAAATAAATGAGTGTGATTAACTCATTGTTTTTTAGTAAATATCTTCTCATTTCTTATTTTTAACCTTAACTCTCTATTTTTATTTATCTACCAATTCTAAATATGTATAAAACTAAAAGAGTTATATATTGTATAATAAGATCTATTCATATATATATATATATTGACATAATGTCAAAATTAACCCTTAATATTTATTAAAATGGTCATTTTGACTAATTTTTTTAGAGTATTTTGACATCTAATATTTTATTTTTAGGGTAAAAAAGCCCCTAACACGTGATAAAATTATCACTTTTGCTCTTATTCTTTTTTTAGCATCTTGACCTCAATATTTAATTTTAGGATAAAAATAATTCTATTTTAGAGCGTTAATTATGTGTTAATTAATATTTTCTATCTATATAGAGATTTGTCTCAAAATAAAAGGTTGATAATTAAAATATTTTATAAAATAGGGACTAAAATAATCATTTTATATATATATATATATATAAAGTATTGAAATATCATAGAAAACAAAATCCTGCGGCTTTTACTTTCAGAAAGGCGTTTCTCCAAGTCTGTAAACAGCTTCCATTCAGACATGTACAATCATTGTCCTCTTTCCCGTCAAGTCTTTTCTCTATTTTTACCCTTTTTAACTAAACCTAGTAAAATTCATTTCATCCGCCGTTAAAATCTTAATCGCCCGCAGTAATTAATGTCATAACTACTTTAAATGATGCCCACGTATGTAATAATAAAAGAAGAACCGGCGCCCAAAAGTCATTTCTACAAAAAAAAATTCATTTTCTTTTTCCTCATCCGTTTTGCTTATAAAGGAAAATATAAATTTTATTACGGCTCCCTCGATTCTGTATTCTGAGAATTTTCATCTTCTTTCCATCATAATCGCCACCTTCTTGATCACATACTGTCACTTCTCTCATACTTTTATTTCCCTTTATTTTTTAAAATTTTATGATCTGCAACAAACTTTACCTCAAAAGTTTTATTTCTTCTTCTCGTCTCTCTAATATTTACTCTAATTTTGCTTTTTCTTTTCTTTTTGGGAAAGTAAGTCGATTTTTTTGTATAATTCTTTGATAGCAGAGCTTTATTTGTCTTTTTTTAAAAATAATTTGCTGAGTTTTGATAGAGGTTTTTGACGGATAATTGTGCTGGTTTTACGTCGGAGTTGGTTCAATTATCGAAATGTAACTGAAGTTATTATTGAATTTGAGAATCTGAATCGAGGATCCGTAGTGGTTTTGTTGAAATAGTGGAGGATCGAGTTGAAAAATTCAGCTGATTGGTGGTGATTGAAAGAAGAAAGAGTTTTGGATCCGTTCGGGGGAGTAACAGCGCCATCAGATGGCGCTGTTCAGACGATTGTTTTACCGGAAGCCGCCGGATAGGCTTCTCGAGATCTCAGAACGAGTCTACGGTAGCATTTTCTTCCTTCTTATTATTTCGTGTTCGTCTTAATTTGTTATTGTTCGATTAAACTTCAAATTGTGGCAGCCGTCTTTATTTTTGGGTTTTCTGGTTCTGTTTAGGAATGCTTCTGTTCAAAATTCTTAGTTCGATTCATTTTTCTTTGAAGTTGATGTATGTGGACAATGCACTGCTAAATTCTCTGATTTTTAGGTATTTGTTGGTTTGTTTTGGGTTAACTTTTTACAATTAATAAACTCTGCTGATTTTAGCTTCTTATTTTTCATGGTTGTTGGGGCAATGAGCTGAAATTGGGCGGCGTAGTTGCCTTAAAGTAGGATTAGTCAGGTTGTTTGCTTTTATAGTCAGTTACAAAATCACTTGGAGCTTATAAACAGATATGCTCTCTCTTTCTTATCAATGCATTAAGTTTGCATACCATTTTTTTTTTGGTATGGATGCTTTTGTTTGGAACTCTATTTTGCTTTTATCTTTGTGCGCATTTGGAATGAACTTTACAGTTTACACTGAATAACTTGCTAATTGTGCTTTGCTTTTTGGAGGCATATGGTTAATAATTGCTTACTTGATTCAACTTCCGGGTTGGTTGTTTTGCAGTATTTGACTGTTGCTTCTCCACGGATGTGTTGGAAGAAGATGAGTACAAGGTGTATATGGGTGGCATTGTGGCACAGCTACAAGACCATTTTCCTGATGCTTCTTTCATGGTGTTTAATTTCAGAGAAGGGGAGAAGCGGAGCCAAATTTCAGACATTTTAACTCAGTACGATATGACTGTTATGGATTACCCACGGCAATATGAGGGATGTCCGCTGCTGCCGCTCGAAATGATTCATCACTTTCTTCGATCGAGTGAAAGCTGGTTGTCATTGGAAGGACAGCAGAATGTGCTTTTAATGCACTGTGAAAGAGGGGGATGGCCCATACTCGCTTTCATGCTTGCTGGTCTTCTGTTATACCGCAAACAGTACACTGGTGAGCAGAAGACTCTTGAAATGATCTACAAGCAAGCTCCTCGGGACCTTCTCCAGCTTCTTTCTCCTTTGAATCCTCAGCCTTCCCAGTTGAGATATCTTCAGTATATTTCTAGAAGAAATTTGGGTTCTGATTGGCCTCCCTCAGATACACTGCTTTTTTTGGATTGCCTAATTCTTAGAGTTCTTCCACTCTTTGAAGGGGGAAAAGGGTGCAGGCCAGTTGTACGTGTTTATGGCCAGGACCCCAAAGCACCAGCCAATAGAAGTTCCAAGCTTCTGTTTACAACTTCAAAGACAAAAAAACAAATTCGCCACTTCCTAAAGGTGATGTCTTACTCTTGCAATTGAAACTAAAAAGTTAAAATAACCAAATTCAGGATGTTCTGATAAGGTTTATCTGCAGGAAGAGTGTGCACTGGTGAAAATGGATATTCACTGCCGTATTCAAGGGGACATTGTGCTCGAGTGCATCCATGTGGATGAAGATTTGATACGGGAAGAGATGATATTCAGAGTTATGTTCCACACAGCATTTGTTCGAGCAAATATTTTGATGTTATACCGCGATGAGATTGATGTATTGTGGGATGCCAAGGATCAGTTTCCAAAGGACTTCAGAGCAGAGGTAGGCTGAAAATATTTATTCTGTGAATTTTTTCTTTTCTGAAGTTATAGGAGTTGAATCATACTTATGTCTTATCAGGTACTTTTTTTGGATCCTGATGCTGTTGTACCTGGTCTCACCAGAGCAGTAGCAAGTGAAGATGGGAATGAGACAGAAAGTGCTTCACCGGAGGAATTTTTTGAGGTTGAAGAGATCTTCAGCAATGCAGTCGATGCAGTGGAAGGAAAGGTGTATGACAGCAGCCTGATAATTCCTCGCAACAAACCAGATCAGAAAGATGTCTGGAGGGAGGATGTGGATCCTCCTACATTTCAAGATTGTGCGTCAGATGATGGGATTCACAAACAGGATGCAACGGTGTATTCTAGTATAGATGCAGTGAAGGACATTACAGTCGATGATGTGAACTACAAATTAGATAAGATTAGTTCTGACATTAATACAGTGAAAGATATAGCTATTGATGATGGAGATATGAAGATTGATTCAGTGGTGTTTACTGCCGATGTGCCAAGAGCTAGAGAAACCATGGAAGTTATACAAGATGTGATTGACAAATTAGAAGAGATAGAAGATAAGGGAAATAGAGACACTGCTATTCCACCTAAGAAGTCACTGTCTAAGATGTTTGTGCAAAGCTTGAAAACTGATGTTTCCCAACCTAAACCTGAGGAACTATTGACTGCTTCAAAGAAACAGGCTGCACCGGACCCAGAACCAGCTTTAGAGTCTGTTCTGGTGGAACCAAGGAGCGATCAACTAGAACCTCAGGACCCTCCTCCAAGACAAACAAAGCCAAAGATCATATCTCGGTGGATCCCTCCTAACAATGGCTCTCACGTCAAGCCAATGCATGTATCGTACCCACCGTCAAGATATAATAGTGCACCACCTGTACTTTCCAGTATCACATCTTTGACTGAATCTGATTCAGGTTCCGATATAAAAGGCGCTACTGAAGTTTTGGTATTAAAGGATATTTTTTCTGAGCAAAATAGTAGGAAGGTTGAGCCTTTGAAGGTTACGGACTCTTTAAAAGAACTATCCACAACTCCGACAATTACCATATCAACTAATGCTCTACAGCAATCGATATCTGTTCAACCTAGCTCTCCACCTCCACACTTGCCATCCCGACCACCACCACCACCACCGCCTCCTCCTCCCCTTCTGCGAACTACACCCAGATATGGTTTGTTGGTTTTGCAATCTTTTCAGGAAAATGCAACACCTATACCACCTCCCCCACCTCCTCCCCTGCCAGCGATTGGAGATGCAGCTTCTAGAATGTCTCTTGCTGCATCCCCTCCCCTTCAATCTCTCCATCCACCTTACAAAGAAGCAAATATACAGAATATTGGGATGATTTCAAAAACTGCATTTGCCGCTCCTCCTCTTCCTCCTCCCCCGCCTCCGCCTCCCCCATTTTCTAGCAAGCAAACTGCTGGACTGGTTTTGCCTCCTCCAGCTCCACCACCTTGGAAATCTGGGTATTTTTCAGATGCCCCTAGCGCAGCATGTTCACCCCCTCATACTACTACCATCAGCTCAAGCACATCAAAACTTGGTAATGTTCCTCCACCCCCTCCACCATTTCCAGGTGCTATGACTCCATCCTTCACGCACGGAGTGCCATCAGCATCTTCGCCACCCCCACCCCATCCATTGCCTGGAGCTCCGGCTCCCCCACCACAACCTGTGCCTCGTAATGGGGCTCCTCCCCTCCTCCACCACCACCTCCTCCTCTGTTGCGAGGAGCTCCACACACACCTCCTCTACCTCCACCACCTCCATTGAAGTCTGGTGCCCCACCTCCACCACCACCGCCCCCATTGAAGTCTGGTGCCCCACCACCTCCACCGCCCCCATTGATGTCTGGTGCCCCACCTCCTCCACCTCCACCACCCCTATTGATGTCTGGTGCCCCACCTCCTCCACCTCCACCACCCCCATTGATGTCTGGTGCCCCTCCAAAATTTGGGGTCCCTCCTCCACCCCCTTCCCCTTCGCTTGGAGTGCCACCTCCGCCTCCTCTCCCACGTGGAGCCCCGCCCCCACCACCTCCACCTTCGCGAGGGGCACCATCCCCACCCCCACCTCCCATGCGTGGAGCGCCAGCACCACCTCCACCTCCTATGCGTGGAGCTCCAGCACCACCTCCACCTCCTATGCGTGGAGCGCCAGCACCGCCTCCACCTCCTATGCGTGGAGCGCCAGCACCGCCTCCACCTCCTATGCGTGGACCTCCTGCACCTCCCCCGCCTCCTCTCGGTGGAGCACCACCACCACCACCTCCTCCTGGAGGTCGAGCTCCTGCCCCTCCAGCTCCACCTGGAGCTCCTCGTGGTGCACCTCCACCAGTGGGTGCTAGAGCAGCCGATGTGAGAGGAAGAGGGCGTGGGCTATCACGTCCTGGGGTAACTGCAGCACCTCGGAGATCTTCCTTAAAACCATTACACTGGAGCAAGGTTACAAGGGCAGTACAAGGAAGCTTATGGGAAGAATTGCAAAGATATGGAGAGGATGAAATGTATTTTATCTTCTTATACTGATTTTTAATCTTTTGTGTGGTTCACTTCTATAAGTGATAAATTCTGACTAAATATTTATGTTAAGTGTCCATGGGATTGTATATTTCCCATTTGTGTTTGCTGACATTGCCTTCTTTCGCCAGTGCACCAGAATTTGATGTGTCAGAGATTGAAACTCTTTTCTCCGCTGTTGTTCCTAAACCTGCTGATTCTGGGGGTAAATCTGGAGGGCCACGCAAATCAGCTGGATCAAAGCCTGACAAAGTTCACTTGGTAATCTGGAGTTTTTTTTGGGATAAGCCCTATACATGATTTCTTTGTCTGTGATTGTAGTACTGTTACTGAACCACCTTAGACTGAATAAACAAGGATCTCACTAGTAGAAATTGAAAAATTCATAGTTTTAAACATATAGTGCTGAATGCTATGTTTTCATGGGGAAAAAGGGTTTCTTATCTTTGTCTTCTGGTTCAAATTAATTATATATACTTATCTTTTTTATTCAAAAAAAAGCTACAAGTTGGAGATATTAATGAATCTTTATTCTATATACGTCCTTTATTTTTTAGGGGACATAAGTATTTTGCCTATACAAGGGGTGATAATCCTCTTGACCCCATTTATCTCATTCTCACCCATTCTGAGATTCTAGCTTTAACCACTAGGAATTCCTCTTGGGACAAGGTACATTCTTTGTGATTGCTATCCCTGATGTTCTTATGCTTTTTCTGTATTCTTGGGACATGATATTGATGTAAAAATACCTTTCTGGAAACGCCAAAATTTATAGAAGGTTGTGTTTATTAGAATTGTGGAACTTTATAGGACAATCATAGTGATTCCTATTTAACCCTTGATGTAATCACTAACAAATTTTTTTATTGCATCGTAGATCGACTTGAGGAGGGCCAACAACACTGAAATTATGCTCACTAAAGTTAAGATGCCTCTTTCTGATATGATGGTAAGCTGAATATGGTCATGTTCTTGCCTTTACTTTAAACTCAAATAGAGAAAGTGTATTATACGCTCATCAATATAGATGTGATCTTGGAATATGTCACTTTTACTTTTCCCCATAATATATATGAAGAAGGAAAAGTTTACTTGATTCATGTTATTTTTCTAGTGGTTGCACACTTGCATTTAGTGACCAGGGAGGCGGTATCCTTAGGACCATTGGCTTCTTCAGCTGATTATATCTTGTGTATGCTAATTCTTAGGATTCTCATGCTATATCTGACTAAATTAGTGGCTGCATGGGATGAAATGAGATTTCCTTTGAACTGATCCCTCTGTCTTCCTCATTTTCTTAATTTTAATCAAATGTTTTCAATTTATTTGCTTATTAGCCATTTACAGTGCCGTCTATTTTCTCAGGCTGCTGTGCTAGCAATGGATGATACAGTATTAGATGTTGATCAAGTGGAAAATCTCTTAAAATTTTGCCCAACTAAAGAGGAAATGGAACTTCTAAAGGTGAAGCTTTAGCATATACATAGATTCAGAATTGAATTTTAAGCTATTCGGAACTGCTTTTGTATTCAGGGTAGGAATCTGTTACCATCTTGATTTATCTTCTTTGGTTGTGATTTACTTATCTATGTGATTTTTTAGGGATACACTGGTGACAAGGAGAGTCTAGGGAAGTGCGAACAGGTCTGCAAGATTTCCTCTCACCATATCTTCTAACTTTGTCAAATTGTTTGACTTAGGTGTTTTATATTAGTAGAGTGATAGATGATTGCCTAGCAATTGACCTGTTGCAAATGCAGTCTTCTGACATTTGATTTCCCTTTGTCTTCACTTCTAAATTATGACCATCTAAAATTTTTGCTCCCATGCATTTGGCTGAATGTTGGTGCATGCTTCCCCATGATTAAAGAGTTGATAAAGAAAAAAACGTTAAGCCATCCAATTTTATAAGAATTTTCTTTTAAAATTGTGATCCTTTCGGTACAATTATCAAATGCAATATCTTGTCTTATTTGAAGTGTTTCAATGATTCATGTTTTACTAATTTTCTTTGAAGTTCTTTTAGGGTGTGAAGGGAACACATTTGGAAACTCCCTCAACCCCTCCAAGTTCTTTTCATTTTTCTCTCTCCCCTCTTGTGCTGAAAGGAGACTATAATTTTGTGCATTTATATATGCATTTGTACCATAAAATACTTCCCTTATTCCTGTTTAAGTGTTTTGCTTTCTGCTTCTACATGCATCTTAATAAGTGTTTGTTTTCAGTAATCCAGAAATATTTGTTCTTAGCTTCACAAACTTTTACTTTATAATACCATTTGGCATTATTCTTAATGTGACAATTTAGCCAGGAGAATTTCTTTTCAAATTATAGTTAAAGACAGTAGTTGACGTCTAAGCTTTGATTTTCATTTTACCTGATTGCATTTTTCGTAAGAACGTGTAAACTTAGATTAAGTCTGTACTTGACATAGCTACTATTTTTCCAGCTATTATCTTCCCCTACTGTTATTTTTGGAACAATATATGCCTGACAATTCCTTAATGAATATAGTAGGGTCAGTGAAATTTGTAGTGCTAGCTAGTAAATAAAGAGCCTACCCAAGGAAGATCCACAAGCAATAACAGAATCATGTGTTAGAAACTCAGTGTTTTGGCATCAACTTTGAGAACAATGTTAGGTTTGTCTTGATGGCTATGTGGAATTGGTGTCTCATCATTTTTTCTATTGTCAATGTGTACCTAGTCTCTAACATCCTTTGTCTTTTCCCTCGTGTATTTGTGTCGGTGTTTATAAAATAAATTTGTAAGGATATGTTGTCATCATTAAGGGCTTAATTGACAAAGTGTGGCATTATTCATGAGTATGAATATAGTTAAGATTGTTTTCTGGAAGTTTTTTTTATGGGGATTATTGTTTCCAAACAGAGGGAGCACGGGTTATGTTTTTTTTATAAGAATTTCAGGCCTCGTTAAAAACCCCCTTCTTGATTAAAGGAGCTTGTAGAGAAGCTCCTTAATCAGCGGAAGGAGGAAAAGAGTGCCTTAAGATATTATTGAACATAAGAAATTACATAAGGTACAACCTACAAAACACCCCTATCAAAAACATAAAAACAGTAAACACCCGTAAACCACCCATAGAACACAACACTAAATCAGCCAATCCCTTCTTTAGCTAAGGCATCAGCCTCTAAATTGGCTGTCCTATTTACCCATCTAACAACACCATTTAAAACATTAAGCCTATGAACAATATCTCTAATCATAAAAGCCTAAGGTCAATCCTGAGGAATCCTTTAAAACTCCTCCTATCCCACTCTTCTTCCAATCTCTTGTAGTAGCAGCATTAACATTTAGTTTTACAAAACCTTTAGGAGGAGGGGACCAAGGAAATATAGATACAATCAGATTAGAATTAATAGAACACGAGTCCCCTAAGGAAGGATCTGAAATAAGAGAATCCTTTGGGATAGAAACCTCTTTATGCTTTGCTAGGAACCAAGAAGCAAGCCTAAATCTTGCTAAGAAGAAATATTCAGCCATATCTAACTTCCCCCCTTCAAACACAATTAGATTCCTTACTTTCCAAGTTGTCCAAAGGACGACCCTGGAATTAAAGACCAAATCTGAGAGTTAGTCTTCAAAGCTGCCCAAGCAAGAAGAAAGCTTTTAGCATTAACATGAAAAACAGTCTTTAACCTCCAGAAATTCAGAAATTTGTTCCAAATAGCCCACACCACCGAACAAGAGAAAAACAAATGCGAGGGAGACTCATCCTCCAACTTGCAAAGAGGACATAACACGTCTTCAATTCCTTGAATTCCTCTTTTAACAAGTTCTGTCTTAACAGCCAGCTTCCCTAAAACAACCTTCCACATAAAAGCCTCCACTCTTGGCGGTAGGAGACCCCTCCAAATAATCTTCTTCCAAAAATGTACATCCTCTTGATTTTGTGGTTTTTTGGTGGAAGAGAAATATAAGGCTGTTTCAGGAAAAAAAATACCCTTGACAAAGCTTATGCTCTAATTTTGATGAAGTAGGTATCAATTAATGGAAGTGCAAGAGGCTTTTGGTCTTTCTGACATTAAGTAGATAAAACATAAAGCACTCAAGAAGAATGAGCATTTTAGAAAATACTTGATAACGCGACACTGGTATTTCATTTACAAAGAAACTCTAGCTAAGATAATTAGTTCCTGGATGCTTTTTCAATTACATCTTTCATTGGATCCATTTTACGAAGACTTATAAAGTCTAACTGGCTTTGAATTTTTTATGTTCAGTACTTTTTGGAACTGATGAAAGTGCCACGAGTGGAGTCAAAATTAAGAGTGTTTTCCTTCAAGATTCAATTCGATTCTCAGGTTTGGTAGTATCTCCTTAGTTAATCTGATTTGATCCCTTTTGGTTTTTTGAATCCCTTGTTTGACATGTTTCCTCATATTTTTTGCCACCTGCAGATTTCTGAATTTAGAAAGAGCTTAAATACTGTCAACTCTGCATGTAACGAGGTACATCAGTAATATATCTGAAGAGACTTTGACTTCACTTTTTATATATTCTTTGTCTTACAACTATATTGGTTATTTAGGTACGGAATTCCCTTAAATTAAAGGAGATCATGAAGAAAATTCTCTATCTGGGAAATACCTTGAACCAAGGAACTGCAAGGGGTATGTGTCATGTTTAATTTTCCTTTTGGCTTCTGTCTTTGATGCTAGAACCACAGCTTATGAAAACATTTTGCAGAGAAGAGATCTTCTAGCTAAGCCACATGTTTAATGTAGTACTTCAATATTTGTCTAGATTCATTCAAGTGAATAACATATTAACATGTGCTTTGATGTTTACATGCTTTGTTTCAAGTGAGGTTAAGTTACTTTATTTTACAGCATTCCCGCATCTTAAACTGGAAATCTTGTTGATCTGTATACTTCTGGGGCATAGTACACAGTTTTAAAAGTATGCTTATCATTTCTGATAATTGCTATCAGAATAATCCCATGTACTAATTTTCTCTTCTTTAAAATAAATGCCAAATGTTATGTGGATGTAAGAAAAGTTAAATATGCTTTTCTGAACTTAACATATCAGTTCCTAGTTTGTGTCTTAATCTTTGAAGTTGTTTGGCGGCTTAGAGTCTTAGTGTTTATGTTGTTTCTAAATTTCATAGATGTCCACTAGCTTGGTAGTTTTTATGGTGGTTCAGTAATGTGATTCCTAACGCATGTATTTAAATCTTTTTTTTTGATAGAAGTTGGAGGTCTCATTAAAAACTCCCTTCGTATTCTTCCACATACTTAGAAGTATGTTGAAGAACAAGGAAGGGAGAAAAGAGTGCCTCATATATTTTATTAAAAATACTAAGTACATGAGGTAACACCAAACCCACATGCGGGAATAAACACCAATACAACCCATATCACCTAGAAATCTTACATCGTCAACCAAAAAGCCCCTAAATCACCTCAAGATGTAAGATAACATAACAAAAAAACCAACAATTACAACCACAAACTTAAAAACGCCTCTGAATACAGCAGCCGAACAATCACAACCCAATTGGAGGATCAAGTTCTAAAGAAATATCGCAATCTTCAGGAACCCAAGAATTAGGTTTGAAGGAAGGATCAACTTCATGCACCAAGATTTTGAATAAATGATCCCCGACCTTCAACTCCAACAACTCATTAATTCTCTTGTTATGCTACTAGTTCCAGTTTTGTTTTTTTTGTTTCTAGCGAAAGCTACTAGTTCCAAGCATGATATATTTTTATTTATCATTCAATGCTGCTCAACTACTCAGATTTGATTTGGTGGAAATCTTTTAATTGTTGCATGTTCCTTTAATATGAAGTTTCAAATCATTTACCATTATACAGGTTCTGCTATTGGATTTAAGTTGGACAGTCTTCTAAAGCTCACAGATACACGTGCTTCTACCAGCAAGATGACGCTGATGAATTATCTTTGTAAGGTTTGGTTACTAATTTTCTTTTACTCTGTGGTGTTATTAAGGTCATTCTGCTTCTTGTAATATTTGCCTGAATTATGTTTTACACCCAGTTTATATGTTAAATTACCACCGGCACACTTGTTTCTGATGCAACCAGCTACTGTCAATTGGAATTGAGGCTCAACTTTCAACTTTGTTTTATTGTTGCTCAGGCCCTAGCTGCCAAAGCACCCGCACTTCTAGATTTCCACCTGGAATTTGTCAGTCTTGAGGCTGCAACTAAGGTTTCCATCAGTGTTTTAGAATTTGAGGTTTGTAGTTTGATGACATTATGTTTAGTTTGAAGTCTTGCCTCCTGTGCAGATACAATTAAAATCTTTAGCAGAAGAAATGCAAGCTATAATTAAGGGATTAGAAAAGCTCCAGCAGGAGCTGGTTGCTTCCGAAAATGATGGTCCTGTGTCCGAAGTTTTCCGGAAGGTACATAGTTGTTTTATTGCTTTTTATTCTTCCACTTAGCTATACAAGGTTTGTTGCTTTGTCTTAACTGTATCTTACCACTTTCAACTATTGTATTCAACCACATTCCATTTATTGAAAATCAATGAAGTTCCGGATTGGATACTAGCTTTCTTGTTTTTCACCCTTCATGTGTGAAACTATTTTATAGAATGCTATAAGAGAAACTGTATGCAAACATGAAATGCCCCTAAAAGTTGGTTAGTTGAAAAGAACCAGAGTAAAACAAGTTTAAATTGAAAAAGTGATGCTTTCTGTTTTGAAAGTTCCTTCAGATAATGTTTTCTGATCTTATAGGGTAGTCCTTTCCGTTTGAACATCATTGGGTTTTATATTGTTTTTTCTGGTGCATGGGAGTGATCATCTGTTATGTAGCCTTGTGGCCAACATCTAACACTATCAACTGCTTTTTCATATATCTAGGGAATGATTTCATTGTTCTAAACATTTCCTTTTTCTTGTTGTAATTTAGACATTGAAGGAATTTATTTCTGTTGCTGAGACGGAGGTGGTGTCCTTAACAAATCTATATTCTACAGTGGTAATTTTCCGACTGCTGACATTCTCATTGATGCATCATCGATTGTTGTTCAACTCTTGATTATATTCGATCATTTAGATTCTTTTTTCAACTTTTTGGTGGACAGGGTAGAAATGCAGATGCACTTGCGCTCTATTTTGGTGAGGATCCTGCCAGATGCCCATTTGAGCAAGGTAGATTCTAGAGTAATACCTTACTTATTATGCCCTTTGTTGCTTCGGCTCTTTATTTTTCTTGAAATATCTGACACCTTAGGGTGCATATTCAAACATAGGTATGGGGTAGGCTGTCCATGTGCAGGATGACTCACCCAGCCGACCCGAACTTTATTTGAATAACTAAAAGATTTTATTTAAATTTGATTATAAAAAACATAAATATTAATATAAAACTATATTTTCAAAAAAATTAACATGAAATGGGTTATTTAGGTGGGCCAAGTCGAGCTTGGGAAACTTTAGTAATCGGGCTGATGTCCGGCATGGTCCATGGACACCTCTAGTACGAGGATATGAACCTCCCAATACATGAAAAATCTTCACAAAAGAATTGAACATACCCATATTGGGTACATACTTGTATCCAATACTCACATCTGACTCTTGGTAAGATAGATGATGCCTTCACTAAAATGTTCTTAATAAGAATATATTGGAAGGCATTTTATTCACCCATCTTTCTTTGCTTTTTCTCCAACCTTCACACCACACTCAACCCCTCTTTTTCTTTTCCTTATGGGAATAAGAAATCAGTCCCCATATGGTCTATGAGCTAAAGTTTCTGGAAGCTGAACTATAATCAATAAAACAAGTTGAATAACCAAATAGGAAAAATTGGAGAAAAGGGCTAACAGACTATTTAAGGTGGTTGTCTGGTTCTTTTAGAAAATTAGAAAACTGGGGTTTCCGAACTTTTTTCTCTCATTTCTGTGATCATATATGAAATATAGTTGTGAAATAGAAAGCTTTTAAGACAACAAAATGGGACTTAAGTTTTTTCATCATTCCAAGGCTCTATGTAATTCTTTGTAGCATCCTCGATATTTTGCTATAAAAAAAGCAGAAGCAAATGGTGAAAAGCATATTTGTACTTTATTAAAGATGAGTAAATTGCTCAAAAGTGCTACCAAGTTAGGTATGGTGGTTTTATCATATTCTTCTTTTGTTTATATGATAGAACTTCAATTTTTTTAATCTTGGCAGATATCTTTGTTTTGATATGGGTTAATTGTACTAAACATCCCGACACTTCAGATCATTCTAATTAAGTCCTCAAAGCATCAATATGATACCAATCAGGTCTTTCTGTCAGCCTTGTTGTCAACTTGGTCGTGATTGGATATGACGTACGTAGATCAAATTTTAAAGATGTATCTACTGCATGGGCATTTTGGATAAGATGGTGTTAAAAGAAATACAAGGCAGATTAAAATTTTGAACCAGGTTTTTTTTTACATGTTAGACGCAAACTTCCATATGGTATATATGCACATATTTAAAAAAATAGATCCACTTATTTTAAATATGTTTCATGTAAACGTCAAAACTGATAGGCCGATGGACGGACTTCATTGGTACATATTGATATTTTGAGGACTCAATTAGAACATTTTGAAGTCTGGGAAGCAATTTTAAATTGGGTTATAGTTTGGGGACCTTTAGTGCAATTAACCTTTTTAATATTAACACCCATATTTTGCTTATTATCACCAAAAATGAATAGTGAAAGGTAAAAGTGACAGCCAAGAACCTAATTTGAACTAGTATTCTGTTTAGTATTCATGTATACGTCTAAAGCTTCAACCTAGTTAGGGGTTCTGTTTATTTTGTAGATCAAGATGTCCCTTGCAGTATACTGGTTTTATACGGTGACCTACTATGTTGCTCCAACTTTCTATTTTTCTTGAATTATCTATTCGTTATCCACATCTGGATATGAGTGTGGGGATATGATGCTCCGAAAGACTTTCCAGATACATAAAATCTTGAAAGAAATTGCACATCCATATTTGATGCTCTTGACTCCGAGTGCTCCGAGTTGTTTGAACGGTCAAATCTGAATGTTGTATGCTAGATTGCTAGTTTTATATGGTGATATGAAGTTTTGTGGAATCTGATGCTGTATTGATCAATGCAGTTACTGCAACACTCTTAAATTTCGCGAGGTTGTTCCGGAAAGCTCATGAAGAGAATGTTAAACAGGCTGAACTGGACAGGAAGAAAGCAGAGAAGGAGGCTGAAATGGAGAATGCGAAAGCCAAACCTAAAAAGAAGAGTGCAAAATAGTTGAATACCAGTTTCTCTATTCCTTCAAGGTGATATGCAACTTCCAGTCATCATATATCAGTGCCAATGAGTACGACTGAATTACAGGAACTGCTGCTTCCGAGGACTTTTGAGGTGCCTCCTGTATCATGCCATAAGAGACGTCGTAAATGAGGCTTTTAGTCCCCTTGACTTATGCATAAGGCTTCAGGAGGCATTCTCTATGGGAAGATATTCATTCACATCACTACGAATGAATCAATGAATTTTTTTGTCAGATGGACCGAACAGCTATGCAGAGAGCGGGTTATGAACATCAGAGGATTAAACTGCAAGTTATCGAAGGTAACTGCTATGATCCTTCTAGCATTATTTTTAGAACCGTGAACTGGGTGGAGGAGCAGCAGCTTTCGATGACCAATGATTTCTTTTTTTCAGCTTCCACCATTCATCTGGCATATTTGTTTCAGCTTCCGAATGGATGTCTGTGGAATCATAAAAGCCGGTGGGACTCACTGTACCATGAAAACATGTAGTGTACAAAGCTCTAACCATCCGCTGACTGTAGAATTCAAATTCTTTATCATGTATTCTTGCAACATAATCTTTTTGTTTTTCCTTTCCCCGAGAAAAGCCCACCATAGGAAGAGGTTGTATACGAGATTAGGTTTTAGAAAGAAAAAAAAAAAGAGATTAGAAGAGGGGCTTTCGTAATGTTTAGTGTAATTTAGCAGCCCGAATATATATATATATATAGAATGCCGATTTGTAAAACCTCTTGGTTTCTTTCATTTCATTGGATATGATTTGATTTCGATCCTCAATTAACAAGTCATTCATGGAATTTTCTGTTTCTTCTCTTGAATTTTAACTATTTCTTGAGGTTCGAAATTCAATATCCTTCTTTTATTTTCTTTGTTCAAATATGAAGTACTCCCAGGGGGTTCAATTGCATTTGATTAGTTTGGGAATTGAAAATAATGCCTAATTTAGGCAATTGTATTGAGAGGGAAAAAATCATCTGTTGGTGGGTTCCTCTTTGTTTTGATGTTGATGTGTCTCTTCTATTAATATTGCTTGACAGAGCACCAACATCACACATAATTTGAATCCAAAGCTGAATAAACTGGTAACTTTTTTCCTGACATTTAATATCTCCTTGATCATGGCATGGCATGCACATAATATAATATGGAATTTTCCATTCATCTTTTTACAGTACTTAGTTTTGTTTATAGAAGAATATCCATACACGAATATCAGTTCCCAAATTCCAAAACAAAATTTACCAGAATTTTAAAAAAGGAATTAATTAAAACTGAAGAGAAAGAATCCCTCTTCCGTTTCTTGAGTCTTGAATCTATACCCCCAGAAATTCCCTGGTTTCTCGGAAAATGAATCTTGTTTGTTTAAATTTACAATTTGTTAATCTTTTCGCTTCGAAATTCAAGACTTTTATGATTTCTATCTATGCAAGTTCTTCGATATTCTTCAACTTCACAAACGCTTTCCCATCTCTCTCTGCAACAATCTCAATCTTGTAACAATATCTTCCTTCTAGATCCACCAAGCACCCAGTTTTGCAGCTCTTGAAGAACATGCAACTCACCACAGTATCAAGAACAACAAAAATGGAGTACAAATAAGCAATCAAAACCCCTTCCAAAGCCATCGGAAAACCACTACAATCACCGCCACTACGATAACCGTAAGCTCTCACAACAACACGGTAATGGAACAGAGCTTCGATGGCAGCCAACGCCAGATTCGCAGGCACCGCCAATGCCAAAGCAGTCAAAGTCCTCCCCTTTATCAAAACACAAGCCTTCAGAATCGCCAAATACCCACCGGAATTCTCCATTCCAGAAGAAACCAAAGCCAAGTTACAAATCACAATGACATTCGCAAGAATCATTGAATAGACAACAGCACCGGCAGCCGACATGAAGGTGAGCCAATTGGGAGATAAATAGAACCCGAACCCATTGATAAAATGGTACCCGAAGAACAAAAGAGAGAACGCTGTTGAATTTGCAGCCAAAAGTAGAAAGAAATTGCATACGAAAGTGGAAAACAGAGGCTTGTAAAGAGATGAAATTGAAGAAAACGAAGGCGGGGAGGTGGGTTTAATGTGTTTGAGGAGATGGATAGTGGAGGCTTTGGATAACAGAAAGAACGAAAGGGTGAAAGGGAGAGCGAAGATCGATGAAGAAACGGTCTGTGAAATCTTGAGACTGAGGACATTGAAGAAGTTGGACGATGGAGGGAACTCAGCCGCCATGAAAACAGCTCTGAGGTGGGTGTGGATAGCTGGGAAGAGAGGGGAATGAAGGACGAAGAATTGTGAAAGGAGGATCGAAAGTGCGTAAGGGAAAGCGAGGACAGCAGCGATTGTGGCGAAATAATGATAGTTTTGAAGGAAAGTGTAGACTGATCTTCTCATGATGGCGTGGCTCTGAGTTCTTGAGCTATCTTCCATGGCGGATTCACAGATATAATGATATAATAAGCTCAGAAAAGCATGGAAGTTTTGTGGGTGCTTTTGGTATCAGATAGCCTATGGAAATGGAAAGCACAAAGCCTTTTTAAGCTATCTTGAAATGGTGGGTTTGGTTTTTTTTAAATTATGGGGGTAATGACAGAGAAAAAAAAATAACAAATTTGCAGGGCTGAAGCTTGTTTGGATTTATTAGGGTTTCTTCCATTTTTCTAATCTACTAATCACCCATATTAGGTGGCCAATACAAGCAACTCTTGTATGTAAAAGAAAAACCATCTTAATAGTAAAAAAAGAAAATTTGTTATTCATACATAATTTAAATTCGAACACTTGCATCTACACGGTATGTATGTGTCGTCAATTATTAAAAAAAATTCTTAAAAGATACGTCTTATAATAATATTGAATCATAAAACAAACTTTTTTTAATTAAAAATAAATAAATGTTCTGTTGAGATTTGATTGAATTAAAAAATAAAACAATAATCTTAATATTTTATTATTTTTTTTAGAAAAATCAATATAGTAATACACATGTATTTTACGAGGTATAAGTTCTTTAAGAGCAATCCATAAATCCTATACATATTAATTATTTTTCAACATTAATTAGAAAACTAAATGAAGGAGATTTAATAATTTCGTTAAATAAACTATTGAATTCTATAATCCACGTTTGAATTAAAATCAAATCCCCCAATCAAGAAAAATAATGTATCAAACTCAACACTAAGACAAAAGTGCCCATATAAAGCTACAGCGAGTGTTTAATTCCTAAAACTAACGTGCTTTCAACATTATCTTCCCATCTAACGTATTTTCTACAGTAATCACTTAAAGACCCCAGGATATCTTGGCGTCTTTGGGTTAAAATTTTCATACATGGATTACTCGGCGTCTTTAGTTAATTTTTTATGATTACTGTGCATTTTTTGAGATTTTACCAAAAAATCACTTTTTCCTTAAATATTTACGTCTCAGACACCCTTTGAGATAATATTCCCGATCTAACACCCTTTGCAGAAAGGCACGACCCATGCACCGCGCCTTACGCTGATGTGGTGCCACATGGGTCGCGTCTTACTGTCGTCTGACACACGCACCAGATAGGCGCGGTGCATATGTCGCACCTTATAAATAAAATTTGAACGAGATTTGGTTTTTGAGAGGATTTAGTGTGGTGAAAATAGTTGAGAATGAGGTATTTATAGGATGTGATAGATTGTGTGAACAGTCAGTTGGGTCGGAGGGATGAAAGGTGCATGGGCCGCGCCTTCGGTATTTATTCTATCCTAACGTGGGCCACACCTTATCCCACGTGGCGCTACATCAGTGTAAGACGCGGTGCATGGGCCATGCCTTTCTGCAAAGGGTGTTAGATCGGGAATATTATCTCAAAATGTGTCTGAAACGTAAATATTTAAGGAAAATGTGATTTTTTGGTAAAATCTAAAAAAATGCACAGTAAGCAGAAAAAAAATTAACTAAATACGCCGAGTAATCCTATGAAAATTTTAACGGGTGTTAGATCGGAAATATGATCTCAAAGGGTGTCTAAAGCGTAAATATTTAAGGAAAATGTGATTTTTTGGTAAAATATCCAAAAATGCACAGTAATAAAAAATTAACTAAAGACGCCGAGTAATCCATGTATGAAAATTTTAGCTCAAAGACACCGAGATATCCTATGATCTTTAGGTGATTACTGTAGAAAATACGTTAGATGGAGAAATAATGTTGGAAGCACTTTAGTTTGAGAATTAACACTCCTGTAGCATTATATGGACACTTTTGCCCACTAATAAACATAATATATCTACACGATAAGATTATAATAATAAAAATAATAATTAAACATGACATATGAAAACCTATGAAAAATTGATAATCTTAAATAAGATTATGAAAATAAAATAAAATAAAATACTCCTATTTATGTATTAGTGGATCTATAATTTACTTTATTACGGCGGTCCTAGGGCCAAGTCTCTTATATTTAGTTATGTTTCACGTGGGAAAAGTGATTCATTCTTTGCTTCCAAGAAAATACATAATAATAACCCTAGAATGATTTTCTTTTCCTTTCGATTTTTAAATATGATCAATTTGAATCTATTTGGGGAGTATTTTTCTTCCTTAAAGTCTTAGGTTCGAACAATTATATTTATAAGATGTGTTATTTGTCAATGATTAAGAAATAATATAGACATATATTATTTTATTATCATCACGGGCTATTAAAAAATATATGATTAATTTTCATTGAGTTGTTAAAATAAAAACCCAATTAGGGTTTTTTGTACAACCATTTGAAATCAAGTTGTAACTAATTAATAAATTAATTCAATATTGTTTAATTAATTCAATATTATAATGAAAAATTAACCTAATCAAACCAAGGTTAAGGTAGGTTTGCAACGGGTAAGGTATTGTGAAGTTGGTGGGTGGTCGTTTTGACCTTTCTTTCTTATAATAATATTATTAATATGTCATTATCTTACTTTATTTTTTTAATTTATTTTAAATTTGTAAATACAAATATGTTTTAGTACGGGTATGTAATATTTTATTTCTTTCATATTTGAAAAAAAATATTTATAATCATTATATAATATGTATCAGTTGCTAATGTAAAATACAAATATTTTGAGAAAGAATATAATTAATTAGTTTCTTTTAAGTTTTTTAAGTGAGTTCCTAACCAAAAAGGTCTGCCAACAAAATAATAATTATATAATTAAATTATAATCAATTAATGAGTTAGTTAAACAATAGTCGGTAGACAGAGATGGATTTAAATTTATATAAATTTATTATCACAAGAAATTAAATAGATTAGGACTAATGTGAGAGTTGAACTATATATATAATTTGATATAATACCTACATTATATAATTTTTTGTATTATATGACCATAAAAGAATTAATCAATATAATATACAAAACAAAATTAAAAATACAAATAATATATTTATATAATAAAAATAAAAATTAATCATCACAAATACAAACGGATGGATTAATAATTGAAATATACTCAATAAAATACAATTAATAAGTTTCTCGTAACTTTGTCCTAATTAATCCATACCGATTTATATCGCACGTCTTTTTTTGTGGATGAATCTTTCAACGAAGATTTTCTACATACACAGGATCTTTAACTCGAAACATACTCAAGCGATATCAAATTGCTTATCACTTGAGCCAACACCGTTAGTTTTATACTTTTCTTTATTAAGCTTTTGTGTTTATAACTATTAACAAAATTAGAAGTGTCTTACTCAAAAATATTGAAGAATCTTTCATGTGTGTGTGTGTTTGAGTTAGAGAATGCTAAGCTTTTCAAGTGGGAAAACAATAGTATGCATTTGCATTTAATGATTTGGATAATGACCATGACCAATCCTCTTATTATTTAATTTCATTATAAATTAGCATGTATTTATAACAGAATAGTGGAAATAAAAATAGTTTTTATATTACAAATTAGGGTAATTAAAAGTTTAATATTTAAACTATCACTTTTGTTCCATTTTGGTCATCTGGCTATTTTTGTTTCAAAACAATACTTAACATTATATTTTAGTTTCATTTTGATCACCCACCGTTAAAAAAACTAATAGAACTGATAACATGTCATTTTTAATTTTTTTTCAATGATGATATGTCATTACCTCATGGTGGCACTTCAGCAACACGTTAATTTTTTAATGGTGGATGACCAAAGTGAAATCAAAACGTAATGTTATGTATGATTTTGAAATAAAAAATAGTTGGGTGAACAAAATGGAATAAAAGTAATAGTTAGAGTACTAAACATGTAGTTTACCCTAACTTTTAATTGGATTGATGGAAATGTTGATTTTTTTATTCAAAATGATTCAATTAGATTTTGTTTTCTTATTATTGAGTTACATACTTAAAAATTAAAACAAGTATTATTATTTTTAATATAAAGAGGCCTTAGTCTCAAAATAAAACAAGATAATTAAAAATAGTTAATTAAGATTTTGTTTTATTATTGTTTAACGAATTTGGGTATAATTTGGGAATTAAAAATTGAAATAAGTATTATTATTTTTAGTATTCTTGAATAAATAAAATTAATTTTAAAATATTTTTAAGGGAAAAAACATCTAATGTGATATTGTCACACCAATAATTTTAATAGCTGTTAGTGTGATCAATGATAACTGTAATTAAAAAAATAAATTAATCATAAATTTTTAAATAAAAATGTAATTCATTGATGATTAAAAGAAAAAACTCACTTGATTTATTTTACAAATTATCAAATTTATATTTAATTCAAAATATATTTTAGAAGGGACTGATTAGGTTAGTTGGAACTTAGCGGTCAATAGATTAGGTCTAGGGCCTAAAAGACACATAATAATATCTAAAAAGATACTTTTTAATGATTTAATAACTCTAAAATTCAGCAAGGATCATGTGCAATAATTTCATTTTAATAATGGAAATAAAAAAACAAGAATTCAATAATCAATTTAACAAAAAAAATTATTGAGTGAGGTTTAATCAAGCTGTTTCATACTTTTGACTTTTTTCTCTTAATTTTCAAATGAATTATTTATAAAATAATAATTATATTTTTGTATTTATCCCCCTACCTGTGATTTGATAGTCTGAAGAATTTAAGCAAGGAGTTGATGTTTTACTTGAAAATTTTGGCAAATAGTTGGGAGAGGACAATTATATAACTAAATTTCAAGTTTGGAATCCCCCAACATGGACTGCCCTTCTTTTTTAATTTCTTCCCCAAAATAAAAACAACAATATATTCTACATTAATACAAATTATTCTTGATTGCCTTCTCGGTTCTAAGGTTTCGTCTTGATTAATCCAGATCGATTCGTGTCGTACACCTGGCTTTGGCGGGTGAGTCTCCCAGTAAGGATTTTCTACATATACAAAGAATCGAACTCGAGACATTACTTAAACGATATCAAAACTGCTTACCACTTGAACCAACCCCAGTCAATTATATCAATATAAATTATTAGTTGTTGCTTAATGG